GTGTGTGTGAGGTGTGTGTGTGGGCAGATTTAAAATCTTAATGCCCTTTTAGAACAAGAGTTGATAAGCAGTCTGGGGACGAGCCGCTCGGCCTCCTGCAATATCTGTAAATACATTTCTTATTCATTGACAAAGGCCTCTCTTAGTTTTCCGGCACACGAGAAGCATTTCACCCGTGGGCTCGTCTCCGCGGGCCTTTGACTCGGGGAAAGAGTTTCTAATAACCCTCGTCTGTGATCACGCGCTCCTTCATCTCGCGTTTTTTTTTTTTTTCGTCGCCTCGACGGCACATAAGATCCGTTGCTTGGCAATAACGGCACGAGTGGGGACGTCTTGCTAATAGTAGTGAGGGACTGTGAGGCCGGAACCGTACAATTTCACCCTGTAAGGTTTTTTTTTTTTTTTTACATGAAGTTGACCCAGTGCCAAACATAAATATTAAACTACAATAAAAAAACTACATTTCGCTTTTTATCTCTTACTCCGTCCGCATCTTCTGCACGTCGCTCCACTTTGTTTACCCGTTTCACTCCTGGCCCTCCTTCCTCTCGTCTCCTCCCCCACGTCTCTCTCCCTCTCTCCCGCTATCGATTCCTCTTCCCGCACTCACACTGTCTCTGTCAGACAGAAAAACAAATGTCAGATCAGAGAGGCTCTTTAATCTCCAGCTGTGTTGTTTGGCCCTGAACATCTACTCCGTGTGTGTGTAAAGATGATCGAGTGCGGCGGCTTTTTTTCTGTGTTAATTAGCAGCTCCTGGTTTAAAAAGGCTGTTTTGTGTTTTCAAATAGAGATTTCTTCGTTCGCACATGCATGGCTTTGTGTCCGTGCACACCCGTAAAGGGTTATTTCATCGGAGTGGAAAAAGCGACACAAAAACAACAACAACAAGAAAGCCCGCTAGTTGTTTTCTAGAGCCGTTTCCGTTTATTTCATTGACTTTGTTTCAGGCCTTTTGTCTTTCATTCTGACACCAGTAATCCCAAACGCAAGCTCTTAGGGTGCATTTGCGCACCGTGTTCTCGCAGCGAGGAGAGGAGAGGAGAGGGGAAGGAAGGCAAGAATGACCTCGTTGCTCAAGGTAAGAAAAAAGAGAGGCGAACGCAACCGGACGGAGATATTTTGGAGCGAAAGGGGGACGAGACCGACGGCAGAAAACAGAGCGATAGAGAGGGCGACGAAGCCCGTCCGCCAGGCTTTGTGTGGCTGCCGTTCCTTCCTCTCTGCCATCCATGTAAAGCCCTCTGCTACCTCGCTCCCTCTACACGCACACACGTCCCAAACTATAGACTCTGGCCAGTGGCTCAGTGCTTTGGGGGATGTGTGTGTCTGTGTGTGCGTGTGTGTGTTTATGTATTTTAAGGCCGTTTTGTTCGGAACGCAGGCATGCAGAGAGAGCAGTTTTACTGCTGATAAAAGTATTTGGTTAATCAGCTTCTGTCCCCGTCCCCTGGCTAGCTGTGTGTGTGTGTGTGTGTGTGTGTGTGCGCCTGACACAAGCCATTGAAGTTGGGGAGGGGGTGGGGGGGTCCCGAGGGGCATGCTGGGGATGGAGATTGGCATCGGCCCGGCCAGTAGCGTCACAAAGTCGTTCCTGAGGGGCAGGAAGGGCAGCCAATGAGAGCGTCCCAATAGAGCTATTGGGGGGGAAAAAAAGCGGGGTTGTGGGAGGGAAGTGGGTTGGAAAGGGGGAGATGGAGGGAGGGAGGATGGAAAAAAAAAAAAAAGATGTGTAGTGGGAGAGAAAGGGAGCGGGCAAGAGAGTTAGAGAGAGAGAGAGAGATGACAATTACCCTCTTGACTCCTGTCCAGCACCAGTTGTCAATCAGCCTGCCCCCTCTGGGGAAAAATCTCCAGCGCATCATTGGCTGCGCTGACCCACATCCCGCCTCCCCGGGCCGCCTGGCCAACGCGCGATTGGCCACGGCGACCCGTTTGTCAAAAAAAGCCGCCTGGGAACACCGGAGCCTCTGGCTGCCTGGGGAGTGAACGGCCCTGATAGCGTGCGTGCATGTGTTGTTTAGGAGGGTTAGAGAGGAGGAAAGAAGAAGAAGAGACAAAGGGTTTTCTCATTGAGGCTGTTTGTGCTTTCATGGGACATAAGAGAAGGACAGACGAAGATAGAAGGGGCAGCAAGTGGGAGTGTGGTAGAAGAGGGAGGGGGGGGTGGAAGATAGCCGGAGGAAAGGAAATGTGAAATTGAGAAGGACGGAGAGTGAGTGGCGACCAGAGGAGGCTCAAGAGGGACAATAGCGAGGAAGGACGTGGGTGACGAACAAAGACACAACCGAAAAGATGAGGGTGGAGCAAGTAGACAGCGGAGAAATGCGTCGTCCTACTGCTTCACTACTGTGTGTGTGTGTGTGTGTGCGCATAATTAAGATCAAAAGTGTGTAAATATTTGTGCAACATCACGATGTGGAGACGTAACTTGAGTCGCTCTTTCCAACGTCATCCATCAAGTGCTCAAGCGTAGCTCAGGCAGCGCGCGTCCACTGAGAGAGAGAGCGCGGCTGCGTCTGACGCACACACACACACACACACACACACACGGGTGCGGCTAATTAGCAGTGTTTAATGTTTCACGACGGCCCCCCCCCCCCCCCCGCGGCCCCCCGCGGCAAGCCTTTACACCGGCCTGATCACATGACCTGCAACGGGACCTGCAGCGCGTGCTGTCATTTTAGGACCTATTTTTGCGTTTGTATGTAAATGTGTGTGGTTGCGGTATAATTGTGCGTCTGTCTAATGAACCTTCGTGGCCCATTGTGTGGCGCCGATGGGAGTGTTGTGTAGTTTTGTGTTGCATCGTGATGGGTTAACGTTAACGTGTGGCTGTGCACACTGTTTAGTGTGTGTGTGTGTGTGTGTCTCTGACCACGTTTAAAACAAGACTGAAAACTTTTATGTTCAGCTTCAAATTTGACCTACATTGCACTTTTAACCTGTGCCTTTAAACAATTTAAATAAGATTTTAATTTATAATTTTATTTGCTGTTTAATTGTCTTTTAATTCCTGCATTTTATTTCACTTTATTGTATGAAATGTTATGATGTGAAGCACTTTGAGTCTGCCTTGTGTATGAAAAGCGCAATACAAATAAAATTGCCTTGCCTTGTGTTGCCACAGCTTTGTGTGCGTTTGCTGCTTGCTGTTTACGTCGCGCACACACAAATAAACTTATGCCATCAACCAATGATGAAGACCAAAATCCACCGAATGCAAAGTAAGTTTCACTGTACGAGCGCGTTTTTCCAAACCTCAAAAGTACCTCAGAGTACACCTCCGTAGAGAGTCACGTCTATTTATTTGTTTGTTTGTTTGTTTATGTATCATCCGTGAATCCAACCCGCTTCCACGACCCGCCAATGGCGGCTTGTGTGAGCGGCCATGTTTTCTTCCTCCTGCACGCACACCACGCACACCACTGCAGTGTGCGCATGTTTCTGTGTCGACGGGGCCATATTGCATAAGACCGGGTGACGTCACCTGAGTGTGAGCAACGCGCTTCCTCGCCACGCACACCGCAGCGGAGACGCGCGGAATGCGGCTAATTCGCAGCGATCCGTTGCTTTTCACACACAAACTCAAAGACACAAAAGCTTAGACTCAAGTTTGAGCCTCAACTGAACCCAGTTGACTGTGAACCCCGCGGCCTTCGGACGGATCTAATCACGCGGTCGCGCCGCACAGCCTCCTGCTCCTGGTGAAACTCTTGTTAGTGCTGCGAGACGTACTGAAGGCAGAGAGGAGACGGAGAACCCCCCCACCAGACACTTTAAAGTACATTTTCACACAGACACACACCCACGTCTCATTGAACGTCCTCTCTTCTTACTTGCATATGTGCAGGAAATGTGCAGGCAATGTGCAGGCATGCTAAAGCTGCAGCACACACGCAGTAGCGCTGCTTATGACATGCGTTTCCATCCCCCTCGATCTAAATGCACCTCGTTTCTCTGTTTCAAACGACGTGCAAGCGAATCCACAAGGTGTCCACGTTTTGGAGGAAAACCCCCTTTTTTTTTTTTTTTTTCTTATGTCAAACGACATGCTTTCGTTTTACTTCTGGTCTCCGTGTGCAGCGTTTGGCAGACGTGTTGGTCATGGCGGGAGGTCTCCACCACCCGTGTGTGTGTGTGTGTGTGTTTACATCTGGCCTCTCCGAAGCAGCTACAGTCTCCGGTCGGAGAGATTTCAGACTTCATCCATATGCCCACATGAGTTTGTTTTTAGGTTTTGAGGTGGGGGGGTTAGGGTTTTTCTTTCACTGATTTATAACTTCTTGTTTTCATTTGAGCTCTCGGCGTAACTGTGAGGATGGGCCGTCTCTCGGGGGGGGACGGGGGGGTCACCGGGGAGAGCAGGATGAGAACCGGGGTTTGGACAGATTGGAGAGTAAGTGAGGAGTCGTGCGATGGGGAGGAAGAGGGGGGGAAGCGCAAGGTGGCGGGGGAGGGCGCAGGAAGCCCCATTGTGCGCCGGCTCCAGCCATTTCCTGTTTGTGTGCCAGCTGTGCCTCCCTCCTCCTTCCTGTTGTACCCAGGAAGTCGGTGTCACATTCCTGCTCCGGATTGGCTCCGTGTCCCGCGTGGCGGCACATCGCGGTTGTGAATATCGGGCCCGTTTGTTGCTTCGGAGCGTGAAATAACGCGCAGGCCTTTCGATGAAAACCCGCAGAATGTGTGAACGACGTTTTTTTTTTGTAAAGGCCGTGCTTTGAATCCAAAGTTGGGGGAAACAACGGGGGAGACAGCTGATACAGAGGACCATGTAAGGTCTGCTGGAAAACATCATGTTCGTGATTAAGAAACCTGCACTCGCAGTTTTTCGACACTTCAGACTCATCAAGAGTGTCTGAAAGGTTGTTTTGTTTCCGACTATTTTCAATTCATTTTCACATAAGACGAGGAAAAGAAGTAGAGATTTGTTGAATCAGTGATGTGATTGTGAATCAGATCTGAACCCACTTTCTAACCTTTCTTTCTTCTATTCTCAGCGGTGGAAGAAGGAGAGTCCTCAGAGTGTGGAGGCACCTGGGATGAATCAGCTGTCCACACAGGTTTGTGCGCACGCACACACACACACACACACACTGATAATGTAATATAGGTTCAGCAAGCTGTCGGATCTACACAAGAGTCCATACTGCGCGTCCGACACACTCGAGCGCACAATTTGTAATATCGATTCCACGTGTGATGGCTGCTACTGCTCGGAGGGATGTGCCGGAGGAAGCGAAGGAGGAGATCAAGTGAACATGAAAGCGTTAGGATGAGCGGGATGTGTGGACGTCCGGGGGGGGGGGGGGGGGAAGAAGAGAGAAATGCCACATGAGCGAGAAAAAGAGGAGAATTCAAGAGGGGGCAAGCGGAACGAAAGGGCCACCATGGGGGGTTTGAGAAGAGGCCGAGGAGTCGGATCGAACGGAGACGGAGAGCGACCCGATTCCAATGAATTATTCCACGTGTTCCGGGGGGCAATATCAGTCCTACGGTGGTCCGCTTGCCACATGGAGTAATTCCTCTGCACGGTTCTCCGCTGTGTGTGTGTGTGTGTGTGTCGCGCCTCTGTTTTGTTTTACTTCCAATGCAAAAAAAAAAAAAAACGCTGTACATCTTCAACCACCGTCTCGGGCCTCTCCGATGTAACTGGCTGTCACAAGTCCACAAACAAGGGGAGGCGCCCTAACTGCCTTAAAAAAATTAAATCCATTAATCTCGGCCCCAAAATCGCTTAGATTAACAGCGCTTCATCACCGTCGTCAGGAAGAGATCAAACTACGCGTTTAACAAATCGCGGCAGAGGTGGTTTCGACCGTTTTTTTTTTTGTTTTTTTTTTCCGCTCTGATTTCCAGCCAATCAGAGAGCAGTTGAACGCTTCCTCTGACTCGATCCCTGCAGGGAAATAAGATCCTGCTGAATGTGGTGCACATGCAGCTCTCCCTCGTTCAGCTCTGCAGGGAGAGGAGCATTGGAAATATGATCCTTGGGGTGTCCATGACGTACTCCGCCCTCCAATCCTACACCCCCCCCCACCCCCCACCCGACCGCTGCTCGGGCTAACGTTCCTCCAGGGATGCTGTGTGTGTGTGTGTGTGTGTGTGTGTGTTAAGAGGGGTGCTGACTTAGGTCCTGGATGGCTCACTAGAACTGCTGTGTGTGTCAGTTCCTGCAGGAAGCCAGAGTCCCATGACACACACACACACACACACACACACCTCTATCTCACTCTCCTCCCCCCCTCCCACAAAAACACACTGTCCCATATTCCCTTACTCAGCCACTCTTTCAATTTGGATTTCACCATCAACTCCCTCTCCCGACGTCCCCCACATCGCTTTCTCTTTCTATCGTCTCCTGCCGAATGTCCCGGTGTCGTCGCGTCTGTCTCCCTCCTCCCGTCCTCCACCGTTTCCCACTTTCAACCAGACTCGTGTGCTCACGTTAGAAGAAGAAGTGTGCGCCCGAGAGAGAGAGAGAGAGGGGGGAGGGAGAGTTGCCGCCTCTCCCCTTATTAAAGCAGATTAAGAAAGACCTTGTTTCCCTCACTCCTTGGGAGATGGTGTCGACAAGGAGGGGGAGATGGGGGGGTGAGGAAGAGGGAGAGAGAGTTTGTTAAATTCACAAACTTCTAGCCCGGCTTTATTCCTGTGTCTCTCTTTCGCTTTCTCTGGAAATTGTGTGTTGAGTTTAGAAAGACCCGCGGGAGGGAAGGTGGGAGGTTCACCCCAAGGGAATTGCCCTACCACATCTCCTCCTCCCCCTTTCCTTCCCTCCCCTCTCTCTCTCCTCTCTCCCCCCCGGGCCGTTTCTGCCCCAGAGAGCGGCCCCCGGAGGTCGAATGTGCCACAACACCCTCCGCCTCTCGTTCCCTCTGCCCACGCCAACCCTGAGTGGGACAGAAAAACAACTCGTCCGCTTCCTCCTCCTCGTTTCCTCCCCCAGTGTGCTGGGAGAGAGGGAGACGAGTGGAGATACCAGGGACAGAAGTGAGAGATGGGAAATCGGAGAGGCAAAGTAGCAGCGGAGCCATTGTATGCTTAAAATAATACGCTCAGTCTCACGCAGGAGAACAGACTTGCACTGACGTCCTCCTCCCTCTCCTCCTCCAGGGTCTTGTTTTTCTGAGGGACTATAGGCTTGACGCGCGCACATATGCACACATGTCTCTTGGACAACACACACACACACACACACACACACACACACACACACACACACACACACACACACACACACCGAGTTGCTTCCAGAAAGAGCCAGTGAGTCATTGTGGAAAAGGTTTGTCAGGTCCCGAGCTGAAACGGAGGAACTGGGACCAGCTACGTTATTTTTCTTAGAACTGTGTGTGTGTGTGTGTGTGTGCGTGTGTGTCTGTTGCGTGTGGACATGGCAGCCGCCAGAAAGTTGCCTCGAAGAACTGCATTTTTGCACATTCGCATGTTTTGTGTTAAACACACTGCAGTCCAGTGTGTTTTCCCGCCGGGAGTATTTGCCTCTTCATAAAAGCGTCAGCAAAGCGGTATTTCCTCCCAGTGCAACGGTGCAGACTCCCCCCCCCCCGGGCAGGTGGAGTTGCACCTCCCGCGGCGGCCGTTCATCGGGAAGAGGAGAAGCCCCCCACAGATGTGATGTGGGGGCAGCGGGAGGGAGGGAGATCGTACGTAACGACGCTGACATCGAGGCGGCCGGCCCGGGGCGGGAGGACAACAACGAGCCTCCTTCCTCTCCTCTTCCTCTTCCTCTCTCTCTCCGCTACCCTCTGGAGGTCCGTAATGTCGTCCTAATTTCCCCAAGGCCACCCCAGGAAAACAGTTCCTGTGTGTGTGTGCGTGAGAACTATTATTACCTGCGTGTGCATCTGTGTTTTTGTTTTTATTGCAGCATTTAAGCCCTTTGTTTTGTGTGTGTTTTTGTTTTTGTGTGCAGCCGTTAATTTGTGTGCGATGATACTTTGCTGCCAGTCTGCTTGGGTCCGGCGTTCCCTGCGTGGTGTGTGTTTTTAAATGTGCGTGCAGTGTGTGTGTGTCTTTTCCATACCTTCCATGGCTGAGTGGCTCTTTCATCATCCTGTTTCCATACGTCGGGCTGGGGTGCTGCTCGCACCCTTGCACCTCCCACGGGGGCGACTGGTACTCGGCAGATCTCCTCCCGCGGGGGGGGGGGGGGGCAGCGAGGCCTTTGCCTTGTGACAAGGCACTCCTATAAAGGCTATGGCTGTTGGGGGGGGGAGAACACCAAGTTGGAGGCAGAAGTTAAGGGAGAACGCCTCCTTCGATTTAGGCACCCCTAACAGCAACACTGTTTTTTTTTTTTACCAAATAACACAATTTAACACACGTTTTGTGTGAGCGGGGCGACAATGCTGCACCGGGCGTCCTGCGCTGCGGGGGCCCGGCCTGATCTGTGAGGTGCCTGTGGGTCCTGGTCCAGTTGGCGGCGCGGCGTGGAGCAGAGCGAAAAACCTTTCCCCGGGGGGATTTTTGTTTTTTTAAAAATTTTGGGGGAAAGCCCACACACATTTTTTTTCCCCCCCCCCCCCCCCCCCCCCCCCCACCACCCTCTACACCTTTTTGATTCCTCCTTTACGCCGACATAGATGTGTGTTTTATTCACGCCTGGCTAACGGATATACGTCTCTCTCTGAGCTGCCGAGTGCGTCCCAGACAGGCCGATAAGAAGCAAGCTGCCAAATGTAACACTTGAATTACAAGCGCTACAGCATGTTTTACTACCCCCCCAAAAAGCCGTGGCAGTCTTCTGTCTGTGCACTTCTATCACCCAGGGGCAGTTCAGGAACGTTTTCCAGTGTTCATTAGTTTCCCGGTTCCCGGTTCCCTCGTGCTGACGGTGTGCGTTTGATTTATTCACATTTTTTTGCCGTGAAATCAGAGTGTGACTGTCGGATGATGCGTCTGCGCCGTGTGCAGCGAGCCCCCCTTGCTGGGTGGACCCGGGCCGAGGACAATGAGCGGGACCGTAATCGGGGCGTCACTGTACGTTTAATTGAAATGTACGAGAGCCTGATTTTGGGCCTCTGCGTCAATAATGATTAACCTCATAGTATTTAATGTCTGTGATATTAAAAGACGTTAAAGTTCAATTAAAACATTAAGTTATGAATTGAAAATCACACTATGAATATATATATTTATATGTTTCACAGCTCTGTTTTTGGGGGTGCGAAGCTCGTCTCCATCCAGTGGGTTTAAGGCATATTATCATTTAGCGCCGTTGTCACTTCAATGAACTCATTGTGATGAGAAAAGACACAATACACACCAGTGCTATAAACGCACAAGAACCTCACCTTACGCGCACGCACACACACACACACACAGACAGACTCCTCGGTGAGCCTAACGAGTGGTGATTAGTGGGTCTCAGTTAGGCTGTGTAACATCATTCTGCACTGTGGACTCCGCTAATTCACTTCTCTTTTATCTAATTACCCAGGGTGCTTACACACACACACACACACACACACACACACACACACACACGCCACCTGCACACCTCTTTCCTGCAGACATGCAAAATGACCTCATTATTCCTGAGGTATCCATTTATTTTTATATTTGTACCTGTTAATAAACAGCCTGTTGTCCTCGGGTTACGGAGGCCGGTGGCCACAGCCAACGATTTCCTGCTTATTATTGTTCCTCTGGAGACGCGAGGTGTAAAGAAAAAAAACATCTGTCCTCCACATCCTCGCCCAATGCTGCTGGCTGTCATAAACAAAGTCCTGCGTACGGAATTTGTTTGTCGCAAAATATGCCGGAATATTATTTGACTAAATATGCATTGACCAGTGATTGTGGCTGTTGCACACGTCTAATCTGGGGGGGGGGGGGATTAGAAGTGATGCACTCGGTGATTCCAACCTGCAGGCTGCTGGTTGTCTGTCCTAACTGCTAGTTAATATCCTTGCGTTCACGGTGCGATTCGGTCCCTCATTACATGGCGAGAGTAAAAATCAGCGGGGCTCTGATCTGAAACACATGCATGCAAGACATTCAACGTGCTTTGATTTCCATTTACAGGGGAAATTAGTGTCTTTCATATTTGCTGTTGTTCATTGGCCGCATATGATTTAGGGTTCTTATTTTGATTTTAATTTGTGTGTGTGTGTGTGTGTGTGGCAGTAGGTGACGTAAGAATACAACGGGCTGTCTGGATTGAAAGCGTTTGTGTGTGTGTGTGTGTGTGTGTGTGTAAAGGTGAAAAAGAATGTGTAGTTATTCCTGGCAGAAGGACAGTCTGTGACTCAGAGATAATGCTTCTCTGCAGAGCGTGTGTGTGTGTGTGTGTGTGTGCATGTGCGCGTGTGTTCATATGTGTATACAGGACTATAGATGCATCCTGCTGAAGGGTGCACGTGTGTGTGTGTGTGTGTGTGTGTGTGTTAAAGAGAGGCTGGTGCACACACTGCTATTTGCTTGGGACCACCATCAATACCTCATGCATGCACACACACACACATTAACACACACACACGCCCCTCCGCACCCTAGCGCCCATGGGACATGCCTGACTTCATTAAGTAGGCCTGCTGCTTCTTTCTGCTGTGGTTGGGTGGGGGCGGGGTGGTGCACACAGAAAAGAGAACGGAGGTGTGAAGGATTTCTGTGAAAAATACGAGATAGACGAGCGGGAAGGATCGATTCATGAACGTATATCTGGCCCATTTGCTGCACGCGTTCTCCTTTTCAAATTAGAAAACCTAACGCTTACCCAACAAACGAATATATCTGGTGCAACATTTGGGATGCAGCCTTCGGTTGCACGTAACGGTCCTGTCCATCGGCCTCTTCCATCCCTTTCATCTGACTCCCTTCTCACCCGTCTCTCTCCATCCCGCCGCACATTAAGGGCTGATGACCAAACGGGACAACGGGGAGACGAGAGAGGGAGACGAGTACAGAGGGGGGGGGGGCGCAAGATGGAGAGGTCTCATCTGGCTCCTCCCTCTGTTGCCATGACAGCAGGTTGTGTTGGCATGCTGTTCAGTTGGCACTGCCCTCACCTCTGGCCGATCACGGCACCCCGGGGGGGGAGAGAGTCTGCGTGTCCACGTTTGTGTGCGCGTGGGGCAATGTTGCGTGCGTGTCTTTTCAAGGAAACCAAGAAAAGAAAATACATATATTTTTTAAAGGTTTTATCTTAAGCCACGTTGGAAATAATCGCACACTGAGACACACGTTGTTTTGCAATTGCATCTTACAAAAATAACTGCACTTCCAAGTACTTGTGAGACCCGACATCAGGAAGTTTCTCCATTTTAAAAGTTGAAAAATAAGAATGTAATATATGACGTGACACAGCGGTGGAAAAGTATTCGTTCGAAATACACAAATGTGGTCAACGGCCTCATGTGTGTTAAATATGGTGAAGCCCCCTGTGGAACATCTGGATTTACTTCACACATACTGTGTGATATGCAACAAAACAACGGGCACATCCTTACGTGCACACGTGTTGGTGCAGATTTGTAGGCGTGTGTGTGTGTGTGTGTGTGTGTTTTCTCCCTCTTTCTCTCCCGGGCCAGACGGCGCTCTCACCACTGGACAGATGGCCGACAACCTCCCATCCCTCCTCTTTCCCGTCCCTTCCTCCATCCCTCCTTCCTCGCCCTCCACTACTGTTCTCCTCTCTCTCTCTCTCTCCCGTCGCACGCCTTTCCCACAATGCATCTGAACGACGTGCAGCCGGTGCTTCCTCGCTCTAATCTGCCTCGACTTTCGCTCGCCGACGCACTTTCTCTCTGAAGCAAAATGGACCGAGCTGCTGTTCTTCTTTTTGTTTTATCGGACCGGGAAAAAAAAATGAAAGGAAGTTGGTGGCTCCTAACGGCCGGAAGTGAATTACAGCTCAACGCTTTCTTTTGACGCTTAACTGCACTCTCAAGTATTTTTCATTAAAAGTAATGTAGGTTATTGATTTCCTGTAATGGTCGGCGCTTCCAACTTAATGACCGAGCTTTTGACTCCAGTGAGTTAAACGTTTATTAGTCTGGGGATGCCAGACAAGAGGCGGGGACGTTATCTGTGGATTTTCCAAATCAACCCCAGCACAAGGTGTAAACGTGAGGACAACCTGCTGCTTTTGGTCAATAGCGAACCAATCACAGTGCAAAAACGTCTATAAATCCTGCTGGTGGGGATGTTGTGCTCCGGTGAACCGTATTCATCTGGAGTATAATAACTGCTCACAGTACCTTCAACAGATAAACAAAATAATCACCTGAAATTATTATCATTTGATAAATCACAACCACTTAAAAAAATGAGACCAGAATAAAATATTTTTAAAATAATATATAAAATATATATATATATATATATATATATATATATATATATATATATATATATTTTATATTTTAAGTTAACAGGCTGAATCTCATTCTTATAATTATATATAATTAATATAATATTCTTTTGACTGGTGCGACGGGCTTCGTGGGCGTCTCCCTGCGAGCTTCAATCATTTGAGGCCGACGCCAGAGGAGCCGGCGTCTTCGGTGTCAACCCTCTTCGGATCCTCGGCGTTTATAATGTGATAATAAGGTGTGAAAATGGACACACAATGGAGCAGTGAGGATTGGGCCGACGCAGCCTTCCTCTGGTCCCCCTCTCTGCTGTGCCTGTCTGCTACCAGGACACGCACACACACACAGACACACACACACACACTTATGAAGAATTAAAAGGAAACATCCCTCGTTCAACGAACATGAATATGTGAGCTTTTTAACTCATGGTTATATGTGTGTGTGTGTGTGTGTGTCCTCAGAAGTCCCGGCGTGTGACCGAGACACGGACCCCAAAGACGGTCACCGGGCCGGCGGCGAGGACGGGGAAGCCGAGGATCACGAGGATCACGACGACGACCTCGACGACGAGTCCATCTTCACCTGCGACAACTGTCAGCACGACTTCGACTGCCTGGCCGAGCTCACCGAGCACAGAACCAACCACTGCCCGGCCGGTGAGAGAAACGCCAGCGCTCGCGCGCACTTTGTGCGTTCGCACTGTGATTCAGACACCGGGGGGGTTTAAAGACGCAGGCTGGTGGACAGTGAGAGCTGCAAAATTACCAATACGATTGCCTTCTATGTGACTCAGTCTCTCTGTTCCAGTAGCTTTTAGCTATTTGATTTAGTTAAACCCATGTGTCCCCGACCGACTCACACACACACGCACACACACATATAATGGCTGTTATTAGTTCTCGTGTAATTAATGAAGGGGCTGAAAGAAACACGGTGGGGGCATCTGGTTCCTACAGATTAAACCAAAGACACACACACACACACTCTTCCTGGCTATTGCAAGGCAGTCAGCCTCTTAGCGTGTGCGCGTGTGTGTGTGTTTACTTCTGATAGGGGGGGATGAAGACATACGGGGGCGGGTGGAGGGCTTTAGTTAAACTGCTGGGGACGGTGTTTCCAGAGGCGGTGTAATGCCGCGGGTGAGACGCCCCGCCTCGGCGAGCCGCTCGCTCACCCGCTGGCTCGACACCCGATCCCGGCTGGGTCGCGCTCAGCCAGATGTTTGCACGCGTCACTGTGAGAGTCCAGTGGAGTCGTTGGAACTTTGTGCACATAACGTGAACCTCAATCGGGAACCCATTAATGCTTTGCATTTATGTGTGTTTTTTTTTCGTTCCTACTGAGCCGCAGACACAATGCATGCCGCGTCACGTTGAGACACACACACACACACACACACACACACACGCGCACTCCACGCTCGGAAAGGAAAATCACGCCGCCAAAAGCGCAGGGCTGCTGTCACAGCACGGGATGTGGCCTGTGATTTCAGCACAGGAGTCTGGGGAGGGCTACATGTTGCTGAGTGAGAAAGGAAGGGAGGCGGGGGAGGGAGGAGGGAGGGAGGGGGGGAGAAGGGGGGCGTGGAAGAAAGAAATGAAATGATAAAACATGTTTTTCCCTTGAGATTGAGTGGTTCAGATTGCACAGTAATCCCCCAGCTCAGCGGGACGTGCGTGCATGCGTGTGTGTGTGTGTGTATATGTATGTATGTATATATATATCCGTCTATCCTTATTGAGGAGAAGGGCTGCATTAAAACACATGGGCTAAAGAATCCTTTGAAGTTCTCTGGTTGGGACCCCTGGGAGCCAGTTTAGTAAAAGGGCATTTGAAGCCCGCGCACACAGACACACACACAAAAACACACAGCACACTGGGGATTAACACACGCCATGCTGGATCTGCAAGAGAGAGGTAATGTGTTTGTGCTTTTTGTAGTTTGACGGCATGCGCGCTTCACAGTCGGCCATCTTGGGCGCCATCTACAATTATTATTATTATTATTATTCCAAGTCATCCACAGAAATCACGACTGGGCGCTTTGAAGACTTGACTCACCTTCACGTAGGGAAACTAACCACGGCCACCTGAGCTGGATGTCTGGTTATTTTATGGAAGTAAATCTGTGTCATCGGATTTTGAAAGAAAACGGTGATTTAATTTCTAGCACTGAATATTTATGCATTGAAATCATGTATCTGAATGTTTTTCAACGTTAAAATATTCAACTGCAAAAAATTCAACCGCAAATAATTCAACCGCAAAATATTCAATGCAAAAATTCAATGCAAAAAAAATTCCAACCGCAACATCCGGGAACCCAAGGAAGAGCAATCGATTCTAGATTCAAGATCGGGAGCGTGCGTCAAGCAAAAGGAGCGAGCGCCCCAATACAACTTGGGCTTGTCGACTGATGACCGGATTTCAGCCATGTCCGTTAATAATGGGGCTTCGTTGAGTGTTTTAACTTTAACTTCATGCCATCAGTGTGGTTTGTGTCTGTACAATTCAGTAATAGACAGCTGATGCTGGGATGCTTCGACGAGCTATTAGGAGGGATTGGTGTGCAGACGCATAACCCCGACAGTACGTGCAGGTTATGCTGTCTACATGCACGATCATATCATGTCTAACGGTGATGGGGTTTGGAATCCGGCATAAATATTCAGTGCTAGAAATTCAATCACCTTTTTCTTTCAAAATCCGATGACACAGATTTACTTCCATATTATTTTAGCTTTTACTTTTTCTTGATTACAAACGGAACAGTGCGCAACACGCAGCATTCTACTTGCAAAAGGCAACTTGAGGTTACACAAGACAAAAACATCCTAGGCTGATTTTTATGTGATTTATAGGATAACTTACAATAAGAACTTTGAGGATTAAACACACTTTGATCCAAATGTTTGGATCGTATCGACGTTTTTTGAGGCGATGGAGCCGCGTGCAAACCGAGTCCTCCTTCATTTCCACACATTGGTATCCACAGTGCGCAGCGCCGCCTGCTGCTGCTGCACAAGAAACCCTTCCGATATTTAGCCCTTCAGCCATTTTTTAAGTGTACGTCTGCTGACCCCGCGTGCTGCCCTGAGAACCATGCTGGTCACCGTCAAATTATGCACGGAAGTGGCGCCCGTGTCCGTAGTGCTAATTATACTGTTGCAGCAAATGGGTCCCGAGTTAGCAGCTAGCTGTGGCTATAACATTGAATGGGTCCCAGGTGCAGGAGTGAAGCGCCAAGTAATTCAGTGCCACTCCAGCAGAAGGCCTATAAAGAGGCGCCATTAATTTGCGTGGAAATTGGGGAAAAAAAAAAAAAAAAACACACGTAGAGGCACAAATCAATGGCACACGAATGCGCGTACAGCCACCCAAATACCCGGAGTCCGCACATCTGGTTCGTGTGGTGCCACATTAACGTGCATGAGCCCGGCTGCTCAGCCGGTTGTGTGTGTGTGTGATAAAGAGTGTGCGCTTCAATTACAGCAGCATTTCTATGCCGTTCCACTGCAGCTTTAAGCCGGTGTGACAGCTCGGCTAAGATCCGCACTGTGTGTTTGTGTGTTTGTGTGTCTTGCTGTGAACCTTCGGCCTCAACAGTAGTACCCACAATGGCACAACAACTCCTTTAAGCAGTATACGTAGCATAAATACACAGCAGGGACCTCACCAAGTGCAGGAGTCCATTATAATACCAGTGGACGGCGCAAACTCTGCCAAACTTTCATAAGACGATATGAACCGTAAACACAAGAATACATCTCGTTTAATTATACATGAACTTCTTTATTACCAATATTATTAAACCCTAATGGGTCCGCCGTCAAGTTTCCCACCAGACGGCACCTTCCGCGAGATTGAGTCACGACAACTTTAGTCCATTAAAGGCGTCGCAATGTCATTCAGCGCCATTTCAACGCGGACTTGTTGATCACAACGCAGCGTTATCGGGCCAGTGCGGTTTGTGGCGTCCATGCATGGTGCACAACTGTGGGTTTTTTCCAAAAGAAATGTAAAACGTAATATCCATTTACCAAGTGTGTGTGTGTGTGTGTGTGTGTGTGTGTGTGTGTGTGAGGGGAGTGTCAGTAGGAGTCAGAGTGTGTGCGCAGAGGCTCCCTGAGGAAAGGAGGAGTGCAAAAAAAAAAAAAACTCCTGCTGATCAAATGCAGAACATTCTCTGGCCCTGCTGGGCCACATGATCACACACACACACACACACACACACACACACACACTCTCTCACTCTATTACGGGGTCAACGATCTAATGCCGTAGGAGCGCGCGAGGAGGAGACAAAAGAAATGCGTGTTTAAGATCCGGGGGAAGTGATGAGAAGGTAGGCAGGAAGTAAAACGAGGGAGCTGTCAGTCAAGGCAGTGGGGGGGGGCGGGTGCTGCCGCTGTCAGTGACAAATAGCAAGCCACCAACCCAGCTAGGCGCTTCTCAGATGGTATGCGTGCCGTGTGTGTGTGAGAGTGTTTTTCCAGAGGGTATCTTTGTGAGGTCTCTGTCAATTGGAGGACATACAGCTGCACTCTCGTCTATTCTCTGTCCTCTCTGTGCCGGAGAGGAGAAATTTCTGGGGGGGGGGGGGGGGAGAAGAGGAGCAAAAAGTAAAAATGATTGGGGACCTGCTAGGTAGACGGGTGGAGGAGGAGCACGGCGGGGGAGGTGGAGGTAAAACGTGCAGAGAGGAAGTGAGGGAGACGGAACCGGGAAGAGGAGGAAAAACACAGAGCGTCTGTTCCTGCAGGGACCCTTGGGTGACTGGTTTGCCTCCCCCGGGGGGCATCTCCCCACTGCTAAGCTCCTGCCGTCTGTTGCAACCCGCTGTCACACACACACACACACACACACACACCAGAAACACACCTCGCTGCGTCTGTCGTCAGGATAGCAGCTGAGTCCTGTGAGGCCAAGGCTCTTATTAAAACCACAGATCACTTTCTACGAGAGAGGCAGCGGCGGAACGCGAGAGGTCGCAGGGGTCGACATCTGAAGGAAAAACCACACGCGGCCTCCTGCGCTCCGGCCTGCCGCTTAATCGACGACATCAATATGATTCTCTCGTTTGTAATTTTCCTTTTTTTTCACCTCCGTTGACCTTCACAGTCTATTGCTCCTGTTGTTTTTTTTGGTATTTTTCTTCTTTCTTACCCCGGCCCTCCATTTTGCCCTCCACATAACCATGCACCGCCCCCTCCCTGCCCCCCCCCCCCCCCCCCCCGCCCTCCCCTATGTGTCTCTTTACCCGGGGGTGGCCCGAAGATTCCTGTGCTAAGCCCTTGGCACACTAGTGCACAGCGCACACACAGACACAGCTGGCTGCCGCTCAGGTTTTTCCAGGGAGACAGCCGGAGCCCGGCACCGGTGGGGGGTCGGGGGGGGGGGGGGGGGGGCAGGAGAGGCAGAGGGGGGAGAGGGGGGGGGGGGGGGGGGTTACAGCATGCCGAGAGGGAGGGGGAGACACGGGGAAGGGGGGGTTGTTGTGCAGTCATTTTTCATCACAGGGTTCATTTTTCACCGCAGAGTTCTCTCCACTCTCCACACCCGCTCTGTTTCTCTCCCTCCTCCTCCTCCTCCCCCCCCGTTCCCCTCCCTTGATCCCGCTTTGTCTCTCTTTATCTTCTCGGTTTTTACCCGTTGT